TTTAGTTGGAGTCTTACTCGGTCACCCAGGCTGGAGTGCAGTGGCATGCTCATAGTCATCGCAGTCCCTACCTGTTAGGCTCAGGTGATCCTCCTGCCTCAACCTTCCAAGCAGCTGGAATTACAGGCGCATTCTACCATGTCCGGCTAATTTTTTGATTTATTATAGAGACAAGGACTCGCCAAGTTGCCCAGGCTGATCTTGAACCCCTGAACTCAAGCAATCATTTCCCTTCAATCTCCCAAAGGGCTGGTATTACAGGCTTGAGCCACGGCACCCAGCCATGTTTGTTTTTTAACAGAACCCTTAGTATAGTTCTGCAATGTACTTCTGGTCACTCAGTATATCTGGATTATCCAAGCTAGTGATAATAAATCACTCTTGTTAACTGCTATATTGAATTCCTCAATGATGAATCATCATTCCTCTAACTAGTCTCTTGTGGGTGTTTGGTTGGGTTAGTTACAACTTTTAAAAAATAATACTGAGTGTCATCCTCATACATACTTTTCTCTGCATCCACTCAAGTACTTTGCTGGAATAGACACCAGAAAGTGGAATTGCTGGGCCATTTGTGCACACTCTAAATTTCATATTTCACAATATTTTATGAGTGACCAAAGTTCAAATATGTTTTGTCACATGACTGAGATTACAGAGTTTGGGAATCATAGAAGTTTAACCTATTTTCTGCCTTCTTTTTATCCCTAACTCCTAACATAGTGGGCCTGGCCAATTGTGGGTGCTCAGGAAATATTTATTGAATGACTCAATTAAGGGAAGAAAGAAAATGGGAAAGATCTGATCTTATTCCCAGCTCTCCTGTTCACTAGCCTGGTGATTAAGCAGTAGTAGATTCAGCACCTCACTGACTCCAGAGCCTCCACCAGGCAGTCTGCCTGGATCCTGCCCAGAGTCTAATAGGCCATGAGTTGACCAAGGCAATGGGTGAGAGCTGGGACCTAGAGGAGTCCACAGTGTTACATACTCACAGAGGTGGACACAGGTAAAACCAGGGAGCCCAGTGATAAGGGTCTAGCCTTAATCAGATGGGGATGACTAAGGCTTGTACCTGGCTGTACTAGAGGAAGTGTGGGGAAATGATAGGATGCTATTTTCAAAGAGTAGAGTCAAGGATTCCCTGGTGGGCTAACATATGTATATTGAACATATATATGTCTTTCTGGGTGATTTTTCATGTTGGCACTCAAAGAGTAAGAGACTTGAGGGTAGACATTTTTGGCAGAGTGAAGCTCTTCATGAGTCACCACACTGGAGTTAGCCCTGGGGAAGTGAATATTTCAATGTGGAATTCTGTATCTTTTTTCAGGCCACAGTGTCTGCCCTGCCCGTTCTGGCATCTCTTGATAGGCATCAAAATGAAAATGGCATGTTTCTTGACCTTCTTTCTGCACACCTTCCTTGTCTACCATGTTTTGGTCCATCCGCTCACTCCTTGCTCAGGTAGGAAATGATTCTTCTTTTGTGTGTCTGAAGCAGACAATTACCTATCAAAGCCCACTTAGAACTTTTCACTCCTTCCCATACCTGGAAGTCCCATCCCAAACTGAGGGTTCACATTTCATTAAGAGACAAACGGTGCTTCTGTTAGGCATGCTCCTCTCTAGATTCTCCACACCTCACCTTCCCTGCCTGGGAAGTACCCTTCCTCTCATGGCCTCACCTCTGACACTGTCTGATGGAGCTTCCCTCCTTGTGCCGATCAGCTCAGTTTGCCGTGCATGGACCCCCTGGGCCCATCCTGGCCATGGTAGGTGAAGATGCTGATCTGCCCTGTCACCTGTCCCCATCGATGAATGCAGAGACCATGGAGCTAAGGTGGGTGAGTTCCAGCCTTAGGCAGGTAGTGAACATGTATGAAGATGGAAAGGAAATGGAAGACAAACTGAGCACAGAGTATCGAGGGAGAACTTTGATTCTACGAGATGGCATCACTGCAGGGAAGGCTGTTCTCCGAATATACAACGTCAGAGCCTCTGACAGTGGAAACTACCTGTGTTATTTTCAAGATGGCAACTTCTATGAGAAAGCCCTGGTGGAGCTGAAGGTTGCAGGTGAGCCTCTGGGTTTTGTTTCTGAGCTCATTCCTCCATGGGACCTGGTATAGATTAGAGTCCCTGCTCCAAAGGCACTTCAGAGCACTCCTGGCTGGTCACTAGGAATTGCCTGCAGTGCCTTACACATTAACTTATCTGAGATTCTTGAAAAAGAGACAGGTTTCTCTTCAGAAAGAATTTTTCCTGTACCCTACATGCTTAAGTAAAGAACTCCCTCTCTCTAGCCACCAGTGGTATAAAAAGAAACTTGAAGAAGAAAGGGTGGAAAGGATAAGAAATGATCCCTTCAGTTAATGGTACATAGTCCTTTTGGTTTAGTTGTGTACTAGATGGCTTCTGTGGCCATACTAGACGGACACTACCATGGATCCTGAGAGGCTAAGCAAAGGGACGGTACTTCCTGCCGATATTCTTCAGCCAGTGACCCCCTGAACATACTATGGTGGAACGAGCTTGCTACAGAGACCAAGAATACACACCATGGGAATCTGTGGGGTGTCTTGGTAAGAAGATGTTAGAGAAGACTTAGTATAGAATCTGGGCTTGTGTTAGGGAGGGTTTGTAGAAGTGCTTTCTATGCTATCAAAAACATGGATGGTGGGTTAATACTGTGACTGAGAGTTCTAATAAATCTTCTGTAGGAGGAAACAGACTAGGGTGAAACTATATATATATAATTGGAGCAATAATCCCTCATTGCAGATGGGGTATGTGTGGTCGTTGTTGTGATTTGGAAAATGTTTATGTGATTTGGAAAATGTTCATTTTTTTGTATGTTCAGACACAGTTATGGTGTGGTTTGTTTTTCATAATCCATCACAGTCACAAAGTGCCACTGTCTGATGTCTGTATCTGTAAAATTCCTTATGTTCAACAGGAGGACACAGAAAACTGATACTAGTTTTCAGATGTTGGAGGCTGCTTTTCTTTTTCTCAGGGCAATCCTTTGCCCTGTGGTTTCTAGTTGGGTTTGGATGATGGGAGCTATAGCAAATAATGGAAGGAGGAAAGAGAGAGAGGTGTGAATACTTTCACCCTGCCTCTCACACTACAGGCTCCCCTCAGGATTGTTTTATTTCCTTGTCAAAAGTCACAGATCCTCCCAAGAAAGCCCTCAGTACATGACTTTCTTCCCTTAGGCCTTCAAAGGAACTCCCTCTTCTCCTCCCTTTAGGTTTAAGGATGAATGAAATAGTCCCACTGTTAATGGCTCAGGGGCTCTTCACTAACCCTTGTAGTTTTCCCATCATCACGACCACACCTTTATAAACAGTTCTTGAATGAAATCCTCCTTGAATTATCAAATATGATTTTCCATGGATTCCTGTTGAGGCCTTCACTGATGCAGGAGGCTCACAAGAATTTAGACTGATTTATCCTTCCACAGCACTGGGTTCTGATCTTCATGTTGAAGTGAAGAGCTATGAAGATGAAGGAATCCACCTGGAGTGCAAGTCCACAGGCTGGTACCCTCAGCCCCAAATACAGTGGAGAGATGCCAAAGGAGAGAACATCCCGGCTGTGGCAGCACCTGTGGCTGTAGACAGAGTGGGCCTGTATGCAGTAGTATCGTCTGTGATCATGAGAGGCTCCGGAGAGGGAGTGTCCTGTACCATCAGAAATTCCCTCCTTGGCCAGGAAAAGACAGCCAGCATTTCCATCGCAGGTCAGTACTGTGCTAAGCCCCAGGTATACCGAGCTGAGTTATGGCTATTGAAGGAAGATGTGTGAGTTTCTGCTGTTGACCTAGGTTTCTGCAGTGATGATAAAGCCCAGAATAGGGACCTGGAGCCTCCTCTTTACACCTGAGAAATTTCTCTCCCCTGTAAAACTGTTTATGCCACAAATATTTACTGAACCTTTCTGTCCGCCCAGATACTGTGACAGCCAATGGGAACTTGAGGGCGGAGGGAAATAATTAAGATAAATCCTAAGCAAAGTCAAATGGCAAAATAGTATTTACAATTCAAATCTTAGCAAAGGAGCTAATCTTCTTAAAATATAAGATTTAAAACAGCCTAGTAAAAAAATTAGCAAAGGATATGAATTTTTAATTAACAGAAAAGATAATAATCCACAAAAGTTCACTCTTTCTCACTCATTAGAGAAATAAAAATTAAAACATTCTTCACTTCTGATATTTGAAAAAAAATAAAACAAAAACAAAACTGAATTGATTGATAACACATTGTGGTTGAGGAATACAGGGAAGCGGTAACTCTTGGACATTTTCTAGTGTAATTTGTAGTATTTTTTATGTATATTGGCATAACCTCTATTGGAGATTATTATTAGCAATATCTATCTAAACTACCTATTTGTTGATCCAAAATTTTATTCCTGGGAATTTATCTGACAGATAAACTTGCATTTTGTGAGATGATCCAGTAAAAGTTTATTTCTTATAGTGTTCATTATGACTGCACAAGATTAGAAAATGTGCAAATATGCACTGCTGGGGTACTTCCATACAAGGGAATACCAGTCAGAGGTGCAAGAAAACAGAGATAGTTCTCTCTATACTAATATGGAAATGTCTCCAAGATATACTTTACACAGAAAGAGCAAGACACAGAGCAATGTTTAAAGAATGCTATCTTTAGTGTCAATAAGAGAAAAAATAAGAATATATTTGTACGTATATTTTTAAAATTTAACAAAACATTTTATAACACTGTATGTCAGGCATTTTATAAGTATTAATTTAATCCTTCCAACCCAGGAGGTAGATACTATCCTTACCCTCATTTTACAGATTAGGGTAGTAGGAACAGAGAAGTTAAGTAATAGTCCAGGGTTACATTGTTAGTCATGTGGAGAGGTCAGCATTTGAACCCTGGCCCTCTGACTCCAAAGTTCACATTGCTAACCTTCGTATTGAGCTGATTAAGGAGAAGCTAATAAATGAAGGGAGGGAGAGGGAAGACTGAGTGCATGAGAGACTTGAATAACTTTTTATATATGAATTTTTAAAAACTATATGAGCATATTACCTATTGGAAAATTAAAAGCAAAGACAAATGTGTATAACTCTGCTCAAGTCACTCACTTTCCATATAAGAGGCAGACATCTCAAGACAAGTAATAGTAGAAGGTTACAGCAAGGGTTTTCCAGAGTTTCACCAAAAGACCTATGAGTCTTCAGGAAGAGAAAGTTTATTTAACCACATGAGATAGATTTCCTGCCCCTGTCTTGGGGAAACAGTTAAAACTCAGGGTGCTGCAGGCTGGGGAGACACAGCACATGCTGGCCACTACCACTTACTCAATCTGTCCCTTTGCAGACTCTTTCTTCAGTAATGCCCAGCATTGGATCAAGGCCCTGGCAGGGACTCTGCCCATCTTGCTGCTGCTTCTCACAGGGGCTGGTTATTTCTTGTGGAGACAACAGAAGGAAAACAAGATTCTCTTGAGAAAGAAAATGAGAGAGCAAGAAATGAGAGAAATGGCATGGCGTACAAAGGAGAATGAACAAAGTCTAAAAGGTATCTAACCCTTCAGGGAGTCTAAGCCTTTGATTTATAGTTGCCAGACCAAACACCAAACTCCATCCTTACCCCAGTACTAGATCATTTTTAAGATTTATTTTTTAAGAAAACCTCCTCTCCTATAACAGCTAATTATTTTTTTCTGCTTATTTTCCAGAGAAGCTCCAAGAAGAACTCAGTAAGTCTCCATTCCCCCAGAAACCCAGGCATGTCTTCCTAGTCCTGCTTTAAGTGCCTTGATGTATCTTTCCTATTCATTCCATTGCAGAGTGGAGAAAAATCCAGTACATGACTCGTAAGTAGCTCTGACATGGTCTCTGAATTTGAATCTATGAGTCTCTCTGCTTGGATATTTTTTTAGCTTTTAACTCTTTGACCAGGGTTGGGAAATGATTCTAGATCCATTTGTTCAGGGAAAGAAAACAAACTCTTGAGTCCTGCAAGGCACAGACTTGAAAGAAAAGGGGGAAGAGGGAGTGAGGTCCCTTCTCTGTGGCAGGAACCTCACTGGTTACTGCACATAGTCGATAGATTCTTGAGAAGAAAAGAGGAAGAGAAGGTAATAGATTAACAAGGAAATCAGAAAAGAGGGAGAGGAGAAGTGTGTATCAAAAGCAGGAGCAATTACAGTGGCTCAGCTGGTGATCATCCCTGAAATTTCTCTTTGAGTTTTCCAGATTATTTTCAGAAGAAGATAAGAAATGATACAGAATGAGATAGATGGGTCCTGTATGTACATACATACACATATAGACATGGTGACATCTACACCCAGAAGAGGAGAATAGATATATACAAAATAGATTGACTGGACTCCATTGGGAAGGTATTCACAAAGTGCCTACCATGTCACTAGCATTTTATTGATGTCCCCAAATTTGATATTAAGGAGGAGAGAGAAAGAGAGAATTGAACCTGCAGAGGGAAATGGTAGGAAAGAAAGGGTGGGAGGGTAAAAAGAAAGAAAAGCTGGGTGAAAAAAAAAAGGGAAAGGGGACAATTAAGACATGGCAGAGTTCAGGTGATATCTCTACCTTTCTTTCATTGTAGGTGGGGAGAAGTCTCAGGCCTATGCTGGTGAGTGACCCTGATGTTGTCTGAGTATCCAGGGACATGTACCCTGAACATTGCAATCTTTTCTTTGCTGTGATCCATTAATATTCTCAGTTTGAGCCAGGTTCGGTGGCTCAGCCTGTAATCCTGCGCCTTTGGGAGGCTGAGGTGAGTGGATTGTCTGAGCCTGCGGGTTCGAGACTCGCCTGGGCAGGCGAGACCTCCTCTCTACAATAAATCAAAAAATTAGCCGGGTGCACGCCTGTAATTCCCGCTACTCGGAAGGCTGAGGCAGAAGGATCACCGGAGCCCAGCAGGTCGAGGCTGCGGTGGCCGGGAGTGGCCACTGCACTCCAGTCTGGGCGACAGAGTGAGACTCCAATTCAAAAAAAAAAAAAAATTATCAGTTGGAATAATCAGATCTAACCCAAAGGCTCAATTTCTGTGGGGATTTACTTGTGCTTTTCTGGATCCTTTGAGAGAGCCCTGACTCTACTGGCACCCACGCACCCCTCTTGTCAGAGGGAATGGAACCCACCATATTTTAGAAGTTGCCACTTCTGATCCATCAGAGCTATAGAGGAACAGAGCTAGACACTGGAAGAGACTCCGAGGAGAAGGAGAGAAAAGACTTAATGAGGAGAAAGAGATTGGGACGAACAAGAACATGAACTTGTTTCTTCATTGTATCTTCTTCCTTTCAGAATGGAAAGTGGCCCTGTTCCAAGCTGGTGAGTAAATCGTATGGTTCCTAAGCCAACAGCCTGAGGGACCATAATCCCCTTTTCTTCTCCAATTCTTAAGATTTCAGAAAGAAAATTCTCCATGACTAGGTGAGTTTTAGATGGGCACCTTAAATCCCAGTCTGAAAGTTGTGCTCAACCCAGGGAACCAGGGAGAATTGTTCTTTTGGGCTTCCACAGACCTTCATGGGAAGGAAGTGGCATAGAATGTGGAATTGAGTTGAGGGAGATATAGACTGAATTATACTAGAGGGATAGTAAGGATGAGAAATGCCAAGGAGAGAAGACAGTGCCTGCTCAAAGAACTTTACCTTTCCTGGTCTTAATATGTCACCTACTGCCTCTGTGTATCCTCAGAGGATTTAGTTTTTCTGAGCTGTGGTTTCTACATTTTAAAATGCTGATTGTAATTTATATTTTGGTGGGTTGAAGTGAAGACTAATGGAGGCAATGAATATGCTTTGTTCAGAAACCTACCAAGAAAGAGATGGAGTATCCAAAACTGGTGGTTGAAGGGGGTTATTGCAGAGAGTGGGGTTAAGGAAAAGCAAGACAGGAATGTTCAGTGCTCCAAGACTCACAACAGTGGGGAGCTCTTTCCACCCTTTGGCTTGAAGGGATAGAGAGAAGAGCAGTTACTGGAATACAGGAGAAGCTGTAGCTCAGAGGCAGGCTGCCTGAGAAGAGTAAGACCTTTGGTAGAGCAACACCAACTGATAGTGGCAGAAAGGAAGAAGGGACATTCATCGTTGTGCCTCTCTTTTCTTTCTCCCTCCAATCTTCTACCAGAGACTCCCACTAGCCAAACCCAAGAGAAAACCAGAGGGCAAGAGAGCCCAGTGACACTGCCCATAGAGGACAGATTCCTAGGACCCAGAGAGGGTGGAGAAAAGTGAAGTGTGGAGAATGGATCTGGGGGCATATAAAGTCTAGCACAAAGGAGTCCTGGCAGCTTTTATAACATCACGTGCTTCCCATGTGAGCTTTCCCAGGATGAGCAAATTACATTACTGTCTAATTCACCCCAAAGATTAGTACTTTTACTCTCCTTTTTTACATAAAGAAATGCTTCAGATAAGGCTCAACGATGTTACATAACTTAGATGCATGGAATTATGCACTAAGAAAAAAAAAACCCACTCGGCTCACGAATGGTAGAGTGATAATTGAAGATGAAATCTATGACTATAAAACACAAGTGGGCAGAGCCAATCTGGGGAAGGAAACAAGAAAAAGGTTGCTTCCTGAGGCAGCTTCAAGATATCCGGCTAGGCAGATCTTGACTCTATCCTTTTACTTTTCTATTCCTCACTGGATGCAAGATCCCTGGCACTTTGTGTCATGATATTAATGAGAGAGTCACATTCAGGGCAAGCTAGGGATGCCAGGCAGTGGACACAGGCCTCCTTGGAAAGGCCCAGACCTTCCATGCTGAAGCTCTGAAGTTCAGAATAAAGGGCTGACCTCACAGACCTATTCTCAAATTCTCTGCAGCGGATGTGATTCTGGATCCAGACACAGCAAACCCCATTCTTATTGTCTCTGAGGACCGACGGAGTCTCCTGAGAGCAGAGGAAAGACAAGATCTTCCAGATGTCCCTGAGAGATTTGACTGGCATTACTGTGTGCTTGGTTATGAGAGCTTCACTTCAGGGCGACATTTCTGGGAGGTAGAGGTGGGGGACCGGAAAGAGTGGCATATCGGGGTGTGTAGTAAGAATATACAGAGAAAAGGTTGGGTCAAAATGACATCTGAGCATGGATTCTGGACTATGGGGCTATCTGATGGGAATAAGTACCGGGCTCTGACTGACCCCAGGACAAAACTGACTCTTGCTGAGCCCCCTAGGAGAGTGGGGGTCTTCCTGGACTATGAGACTGGAGAGGTCTCATTCTACAATGCCATGGATGGATCTCATATCTACACCTTCCTGCATACCTCCTTCTCTGAGCCTCTGTTCCCTGTTTTCAGAATTTTAACTTTAGAGCCCACTGCCCTAACCATTTGTCCAGCAGCCAAAGAAGTGGGGAGATTCCTTGTTCCCGACCTAGTTCCTCATCCTTCCCAGGAGAACCCAATGACCCCGGGTTTAGCAAATGAAAATGGGCAGCCTCAGGCTGAAGTAATGTCTTTGCTTCTCCCTCCCCAGCCTGGAGTTGAGGGCCTTCCCCTCCAGAGCAACCAATCACACCCATAAAGCTACATGCACACAATGAAGCACTTTACTGGCATTAATTCAATTATTCCATAAGATGGTTCTTGGAATTTGGTATTACTTTATTATCCCCTTAATACAGATATGAAAACTGAGGGGTAGAAAATGATCTAACTTCCATATTTGAAATGACTAGTAAAGGACAGAACTGAGAACTAAACAATAATAGCTAACATTTAAAATGCATTAGATGCTGTGCTCAGTGTTTTAGGTGGATTTCCCTCATGTAATCCTCATGACACCCATGGGAGTGTCCATTTTGATGCTGTGAAAGCTGAGACAGGACAACATTAAGTAACTTCATAACTCATATAGTAAGTTAACCAGCTGGGAAAGGTTCATCCTCAGTTCCCAACCATTTGTTCATTCTTCTGTTCTAGCCTGATTTTCCCCAAGAGAAGGCAACCCTGATGTTCCCTTCCTAAGGCAGCTCCATGGTAGGCATCATTGTAGGTGGTGGTGGAGGTGATACTCCCTTGACTTCTTTCCAGTGGATTATCAGAGATTTAGACCCAGCACTGCTTTGGATTGACTTTTCAGGCTGTCTTGGTCCAGGAAATAATCTCAGTGTATCTACATCACCGAGGACTGACGAAGGGACTAGAAGTTAAACTCTTAGTGATTGATGTTTCTACCCTATAAATGTGATAAGTGATCATGAAACCAGAACCCATCTTCCCACATTCAAGGTTTCCAGAAAGCATTGCTAACACACTAAAAATTGTCTGTGAAATAAGAAATTTGGATGAAGGATGCTAAAAGAACTATGGGAAACCTTTTAATCACACTATAGAACTCATCTCCAGGAAAGGGGTATATCCATCCTGATTAACAGTTGGTGTTACACCAATATCCCTATCAACTGATGCATGCTAGAGGAAAACTCCTCCTCATTATCATCACTACTATTGTTCACTATTGTATTACCTCTACCTAGCATGTGGTTGTCAAGTTATACTTGTTAATAAATTTGTTCATAAGCTGTCCTCTTCAGCTTGGCTTTTTCTAGTCTCAGAAAAGTCTACTCGGTACAGTCATCTACACACCTGCTCCACCTATCACAGTTTCACAGTTTACCTCATGGCAACATTTGCACAAAAACCTTCTTGTATGAGTTTTCTATTGTTGCCATCATGAATTACCACAAGCTTAGATGCTTAAAACAACACAAATGTATTATCCCTCAGTTCTGTAGGTCAGAAGTCCAACAAGAATCTCACTGGTCTAAAATGAAGATGTTTGCAGGCTGTGTTCCTTTCTGGAGGTCTAGGGAAGATCCTATTTCCTTGCTTATTCAGACTGTTGGAAGCATTCAGTTATAGAACTAAAGTCCTAGTTTCTTCCTGGTTGTTAGCTAAAGGTTATGCTCACCTCTAGAGACTGCCTCACCCTGGTTCCTAGCTCCCTTTCTCCATCTTCAAAGCAGAAACAGTGGGTTGAGACCCTCTCAGTCTGATTTCCCCTAGTTCTTCTTCCATTGCAACTCTCTGATTCTTCTACCTTCTACTTTAAGGATTCCTGTGATTAGATTGAGCCCAACAAGAAAATTTAGTATAATCTCTTTATGTTAAGATGAATAATCTTAATTCTATGTGTAAGATTCATTTTGCCATGTTTTATATCATATTTACCAGTTTCACAGTGAACACTATTGAGAGGGTATAGGGGGAGCATTATTTAGCCTACCACACTTATATGAGAAGTGATTTCAGGAAACACCACTGTAGAAATAAAGTGAGACACAGAAAGGAGAAAACCAATTAAGTGATAAATGGTATAAACATTTATTAATGAGTCAGTTTCATGTGGACAACCTTGCTCAATTCCACTTAGGACTCTCTAACACACAATATGAAACTGTGGCATATACCTCAGAATCTTCATAAAAGCTGGGGAGCCTGAGACACATATCCTCTTCTCTAATCTTTCTCATGCACTTTGAGGTTATGTTGTATATCTACAAAAAAGCAAATATCACCAGTGTTAGAGAAAGCTCTCAGGTCCAGGAGAGGAGACACAGACACCAAAGGTGAGAAGTTGTTATCCTTGCAAGAAATTGCCTCAGTTGTTGGTGCACTGTGATAGGCAAGGATAATATGGGTTGGGGCAGCAACAGTATCTATTCTAAGGGCTCTGTTTCTGTGAATTTAGTAAATCCCCATTAAGATCTGTCTATCCTCTCTCTACCTCATTCATTTCACAGTAGTGACTTTCTGTCTTCCAGTACCTATTCATGTCACATGGTTCTGCTGCCTCACCACATGGCCTGGGTCTGGGATGGACATCTGATCCAAGCTAGGCCAGAGGACCTTCAAATGACATGTGACTCATAACACCTATAGTGAGTGTGGATGGCAGCTATGGAAAGACATCTTCCACTCAGTGTGGTCCAGAAGAAGAAGGGAAGGTGAACTGCAGAAACAGAAGACCAAAGCAGATGTGCAGAGAGGAAGCTTCAAGCTGGAAAGAGTTTGGGCAATTTTCTCATCACTGCTTCCTTTGAGATCCTTTTATTATCTGTATTGTGTTCTGTGAAATTTGTTCTCTTGAGACAAGGTAAATATTCTGGTTAATATTACTGCAGTCCTAAAAACTAGCAGTTGACACAACCCTTGTACTATACTGATTGATTCTGTGAGTCAGAAATCTGAAATTTGAACAGGGAAGACTAGGACTGGTTTTTCTGTGTCAAGATGACTGGGCTACACCTGGGAGGACTCTATGGCTGGAGGTGACTCAAAGGAAAAGACACACTGAAGTTGCCTTTAAAGATTGGAGTTCACTTGCAAAGCAAAAGAAGATCAGTGTTTACTCTGTGTCCTAGTTCTTCAAGTACCGGCAGACAAACCAAGCTCATAGAGAGCCATGCTGAAGTGACCATCCTCCGTGTTTATTCCAGTCAGTGAATGAAGGGTCAGGTTTTCACTATCTAACATGGCACTCCCCAATAGAACCAGGTTTCCTGCTAAGCTACCTCATGGGCAATTGACTGACCTCCTGCTAGTAACATATATGCTTTCTTTTGGCTAAGGTCAGTTTGGCAGGGGTTAAGGCCTGGCTTAGCTTGATGCTTCAGGCCCAAGCTGCTTCAGAAGACCTGGGTCTCATTTCTTCACATTAAAAACAACAACAACAACAACAACAACAACAAAACAACAACTGGAAGCCAGATATCAGCTTGGATAGCAAGGCTCTAGGACTCTTACAGTCCCCGCTTCTGTCCATAACCAAAAGCTGCCCAGTCCTAAGTGGAGTGATCCTATACTTACTGTTTTTACCCTCATTAGCCACTCAACTCATTTTAAATTTATATTCCAGAAGCATCAGGTATGGGTGAGGCTGCTGTAAGAAAAAGAGATGGTTCGAGTGTCAGTACAATTAAAAAAGCAGTTCTAAGGGCTTTCTTTAGCTTATTCTCATGAAAGATCTCTCTGCAGAGCAGAGAAGGAATATGCTTTGGAAAAGGATTCTGGGTTTGATCCTTCTTCTCAGTGCTAAAACGCTCCACTGTGGGAGGCTTGATCCTCCTGCCATCTGTCTCTCTCTCTCTCTCTCTCTCTCTCTCTCTCTCAGTCTCTGGTGCCAGATGATTCCATGAACTGGGCCATGCTGGTCTGGGAACAACCTTACCCTCACTCAGGCTTTGAACAACAACTGAGTGCAGAGCTTAGGGCTGGACCCTGGATGGAGAGAAGAATCACATCTTCCAGATATCTCTCCTGAAGAGCAGATACTCTAGCCACTGGAAAGGCAGTGTTGATACTTAAATAACAATGATACAGATAGAATATAGGAGTAGCAAAAGCTTTGGGTGCCAGAACACTTCAAATTAGGAATATCCAGAATTGCGGAATTGTTCTTAGAGGAAGTGAACATGCAGCTAGGGCAGGATTTCACGGGGCAGAAATGGAAGGAACAATTTAGATGAAGGAAATGGCATAGGAAAAAGAGTGCTAGCCACAGGGGGTGCAAATAGTGCCATGTAAAGCAACCGTAGAGTCATTGCTGGTATATTAACTGCAAAGTACTGGATTGAATCAGAAGTTACTTGGAGGCCTCCAGAGTAAGCATTTAGACAACTTTAGGATAATATTGAGAACTGGGCTTTGGGAAGATTGTGCTGGAAGATAGGAAGACATCTGTACAATCACAGAACTGTAGTCTGTAAAGCAGAGGCTATGTTTAGGGGGAAAGGAAATTATGTGTGTGTGAGGGTGTGTGGTTGGGGGTGGTGGTTGGACCTGACCAGACCATCTACTGGCAGAAGCTGAAGGCCAACTATTAGTAGAAAGTCTGTTCACTTCCATCTTGTGCCCCCACCAACTTGAAGAAAATTCCTTTGGCTTTCGAAAGAAGGCTGCTTATGTTTACCTCCTTTCTCTCCATCCCAGCAAAGTCAATTTTCACATGCAGACTTATACACACAGAGGTTAGCAGGACACAAACCTCGGAGAATCTCAAGGTTTTGCAAAAAAGAAGAAAGAAAAAAGGATCTTGCTTCTGAGCAGAGAAAAGGGAAATAAAACAGACTCAGGTTCAAAAGGCTATTTGCTCCTTACGTTTTGTTTTTTTTAAAAAACTGTTTCCTTGTATTCTACCTAGTAACTGGTGAGAAAAAAGAATCGTGGACTCCATTGGCTGCCTGACCCACAGCTGACCAATCCTAGGCTCTATACCATTTAGTGGCAATCTTAGGACTTTGTGGATACCCTGTGGAACAGATGCAAGATCCCTGGGTTCCTCAGCTGGATACATTGCGACAAATGGAAGGTGAAGAAAAGGATTCCTCTCGCTTTTCAAGAGAGTTCGTTCTCTAGTGGAAGCTGTGCCCTTGAACAGGTTGAAAAGAAGAGGGCCGACAGGAAAATCGTCATTTGAGAGTCAGAGGAGAAAAAAAAAAGGTTAACTCTAAGGTAGGAAAGGGAGGGGAAGCGCTGCGGCTCCGGGGTGGGGGCGGTAGACGGGGAAACCGAATATGCCTTGGACTAGAGAGGAGTCCCTGCAAGAGTGGAAGCCCACCGTAGAAAGGGGCGGCCATGCCTGGCTTTATCTCGGGTCGCCAGGCCTGCGTCACGGGGAGGAGGGAGGGGAAGGAGGGTGGGGATGTGACAACTGAAGAAAATGGACTCTGGCCGGAGAAATGAAACGAGAAGGGCGGAAAACTGCTGCTTGATCGTTGCATCAGTGGTTTATTTCATGGAATGTTTAGTGAATCCCTCTATAAGGAGATAGCTGAACTTTGGAAAAAAGGGGGCTGCCCAAGACAAGTTTCACCCTGATGAGACCCACATGGTTGACAGGAAAGAATAAACTCGACCAGCATTGTGTGGCCGTGTCCTAGGCTGATTCTCCTCCTCTGTATCCCTAGGCCTCTGATCCCTGCCTGTCCTGGGTGACTCCTTCCCTGTTACTTATGGAGCCAGCTGCTCCATTGCACTTCTCCCTGCCAGCCTCCCTTCTTCTCCTGCTCAGCCTGTTTCCACCAGCCTCAGGTAGGGATGTACACCTCTTGCTCCTATCAACTATCACAAAGCAGCATCCACACTTCAGTCTGCAAAGAGTAAGTGGGAAGAAGGACTGCAGGGATGTTGACACATCCTTTCATTCTGAGTATGTTCATGGGATGTATACCAGTGCTGTCCAAAAGAAATACAATGAGAACCACAAAGGCAAGAGGCAGAAATAGCAAATTTTTAAAAATTAATTTTCATCTATTTTAAAAGGTAAAACAAACATGAAATAAATGTTAGCAACGTATTTTGTTTCACCGAAATAATTAAGCATTAACATTTAAATGTTTAGTTAATGCAAAATATTATCAATGAGACATTTATCATTTAAAAATTTTAAATCTCCAAAACCTTGTGTCGATTTTATATGTACAGCTCATTTCGATTGGGCTAGCTAGTGGAGAGATAACTTATTGGACAGCTGAAGTTTATATTACACGCAGGCATGGTGCTAGATTTGGGAATAGAGGAAAAAGTCGTCGGGGACACAGGGTCTATAGAGTGTGCTCAGGGTGAGCTCCCCAAAATTTTGTTCATGAAGCAGTAGCAGCCTCTATAGCTACTGCTCCCAGGGACGCTGCTGAACAGCTATAGCTACTGGTCCTTTGAATTCTCAGCCTAGGAAGTCCCTAATGATCTTGGAAAGTATATCTAGACCCTGGAATATCTGTTTTGTTTCCTGTCTTAGATGTTTGACGACTGCAGTCCATGTCTGATTCTACCCCTTTGTTGAACAGCCCAGTTTACTGTTGTGGGGCCAGCTGATCCCATCCTGGCCATGGTGGGAGAAAACATCACATTACACTGCCACCTGTCACCTGAGAAAAATGCTGAGGACATGGAGGTGCGATGGTTCCGGTCTCAGTTCTCCCCTGCGGTGTTCGTGTATAAGGATGGGAGAGAGAGAACAGAGGAGCAGATGGAGGAGTACCGAGGAAGAACCACCTTTGTGAGCAAAGACATCAGCAGGGGCAGCGTGGCCCTGGTCATTCACAACATCACAGCCCAGGAGAATGGCATCTACCGCTGTTACTTCCAAGAAGGCAGGTTCTATGATGAGGCCATCACACGCCTCATGGTGGCAGGTAGGTCACTTCATTTTGCTTAGGTACTTTTTCACAGTGTGACATTGGGGAAAGTTTTTCTGCTAACCTCAAGCCCTTTGCAAACCAACAGATTTTTGCCTGAAATTTTCTTTTCATAGGAGGGTGGCTTCCTCCTGCCCAAGGGCCTCATGAGTAAGTACCCTGCTAAGCTGTGGGCATCACTTCTTGAGAAGAACACACAGAACACAGCTGTGGCCCATGGACAGAGGAAAATGGTTAATCCCTGAAGAGAATTCTTATGCCGACTTTATCTTTAAAACTGCAGTTTTGAGAATGAGAGTAAGCATTGTCAACAATTGTCCCAGCACAACTGGAATAAACAAGAACTCCCCAGAGAACTATGACATGTGGCCATCTCTTTATTTAAGAAATATTAGGCTTGGTGTGGTGGCTTACACTTGTAATTTCAGCACTTTGGGAGGCCGAGGTGGGAGGATTATTTGAGCCCAGGAGTTTGAGACCAATCTGGGCAATTTAAGCAAGACTTCATCTCTACAAAAACTAAATTAAAAAAAAAAGACCAATTCTTGCTCTGTTGCCCAAGCTGGAGTACTGTGGTGCTATCATAGCTCACTGCAGCTTTGAACTCCTGACCTCAAGTGATCTTCCCACCTCAGTTTAAATAAAATAAAATAAAAAATAAGTATTAGTCCTAATATTTTTCCCTTTTCTCAAATACTGATTACAGGGAAAATGACTGATACATAACTAGATGGTTTATTAAAGCAAGAAAGACTTAAGTACAGAGACAAAATTATGTATGAAGCCTGGTGACCCCACAGAGAAAATAGTGGAAATTTTGCCAAGAAGACATTGGCAAGGCTTCAGCATAGAAGTCCATTTACATTGGGATGACTAAGAGTTTGTTAAAATGACTAGGCCAGGTGCAATGGCTCATGCCTATAATCCCAGCACATTGGGAGGCTCAGGTGAGAGGGTTGCCTGAGCCCACGAGTTCGAGACTAGCCTGGGCAACTTGGCAAGACCTCATCTCTACAATAAATCAAAAAATTAGCCGAGTATGGTGGTGCACGCCTGTAGTTGTGGCTACTTGGAAGGCTGAGGTGGAAGGATCACCTGAGTCCAGCAGGTCAGGGCTGTGGTGGCTGTGAGTGTGTCATTGCACTGAGGGGGCCAAAGTCAGGAAGCGTGGTGACAGTCATAGCTCAAAGAGCACATGGTCACACCAGAGTCTAGCAAGGCAATGGTTGCTGGCTGCTTGTGGCTGAGTCCTTTTAACCATTCCCCTTGATGGGGAAAGATCATTAGGGTGTGCAATGTGATCCTTTTATCTTAGAGATCCCACCATTTATTTGGTATATTGGTCTCCTGGTGTTCTCTTATATCAAGATTTTTTATTCCTTTATATCATTCTTCCTCCCCTTCTACCTGTTTCAGTGTTCCTTCGCTGCCTCTTTTCCTTCCTTCCTTCCTTCCTTCCTTCCTTCCTTCCTTCCTTCCTTCCTTCCTT